ATCCCTTCACCATTCACCCCGGTGAAACCCTCCTGTCCTCATACAGGTGTCGTCTCCTGTGTGGGATCAAAGTCCAGCCACCAGACACTTCTGGAACATTCCAGGACTCCCGAGCCCCCCAAGGGTGCTCTCGGTGACACCTCAGTCCTGAGGTGCTGAGATCCCACAGGTGCCACTGTCACCTCCCTCAGAGCTGCCACCACCCCTGGGCATGGAACATTCACCCCTGGGTGCCCAGCTGGGCAGGTTTCACTCCATCACTGCTGCTTTTTGGGCTTTGGCTTGGTTTGCAAGTAATCTTTGTGTTGAGAGGCTTGAGGAAAGGCTTTGCAGGTTCACTTATTTGTGTCTTTGTGACCTGTTGGGGATTTCTGCTGAAATGGTTGAGCTCTCTGGGTGCTCAGAGCACCCTGCTCTGGGTGATCATCTCAAAGATGCATCAGGGTTTGGATTTCTCACCACAGGAATTCCTAAATCTACCTGAGGCATTTGAAATTTCTGATATAATCTTTCCACCCAGTTTCCTGCTGGAGAATGAAGAACTAAATCAGCTGTTCAGGTTTTTCCCATTTTGGTCTTCCAAAAGCCACTTTTTTTTTTCTTGTTGTTGTTACAGATATTTTAGTAGAAATATTTCAGCACTAGAAAAATGCAAGGGAGAGGTGTTTTTTTTTTTTTTTTTAAAGGATTGAATCCAAACCTGGGAAGATTAATGGCTGCTTGAAAACCACACCCAGGTGCTTGTAGAAAATGGGAAAGAGATTGGAAAGCTACTGCAAATCATGATCCTTTATGTGAGGAACTTGAAACTGGATCCTTTCTTTTTCCTAATAGAATCCATGGGCTGCTACAAGTTAAAATCTATAATAGAGGGAGAAATTTGTATGAAAACACCCAAAAGCCAAGTGCAGCTTTTACAGATGAGGAAATGGTTGTGGGTAGCCCAAAATTTGGGAAAAACCCACACTGCTTAGGGTTTTATTGGTGTAATTGGTTCCAAATATTGTAATGGAGCCATTAGAGTTGGTTTTCAGGCAGCACAAAGAGCAGTGAGGGTGTTTATGTCCATCTGTGTGGGTGACAGGGGTTCTGAGGGGTTTAACTGCTCCCAGTTCTTGTTTATCAGAGCTCATTCCTGACATAATCTCAGATTTGCATTTCTTTTGTAGCCTGATGCCCTTGAAGTGCTGGATTTCTGCTCTGTGGGCTGCAGGGGAGGACACTGGTTTATAACCCAGAGGTGTTCATGAGCACAAATCCATCCTGCAAAGTTTCCATGGGTGAGGAATTGGGCAGAGTTTGGGGGCAGCTGATCCCTCAGGGGAGGAGTGAGAGCTTTGGGACAGGGCTCACTCCTCAGAGCTTCATTCCTGCAGTTTCTCATTATGCTCAGAGCACAAAGGTTGAATTCATACATATTTCTGCTTATTGCTGAGGAATTTCCATCATTCTCCAGAGCTGGAGAACTTTAATAATGAATAGGCCTGGGAAAAAATGGAGAATTTCAGCCCCTTGGGGTGGGTTTTGCTCTGCTCTGCATGGTGGAGGAGATTGTGGTGGATCCCAGTGCTCTGAGTTCTGTCACAGGTTTATGGAATGAATCCTCCTGGATTAATTACTGCTGTTAATAATTCTAAGTGTTAATCTGGTATGAATTTGGAGAAAGGGAAGTGTGTGCTCATCACTGTCCAGGCACAGGGAAAGGCTCTGGTGGCTCCAGAGCATCCTGAGGGTGTGGAGGCACAGGGAGAAGGGGATGGCAGCTGGAGATGGGGGCTTGAATTCCCCTCTTCCAACATCCATCCCATTGTAAAGGAGAAGGCTCAGGTGGAGGAGTCACAGAATTCTGGAATAGTTTGGGTTGGGTGGAAACTCAAAACTCATCC